CACGGACTGGATAGTAAGAGAGTGCCCGATCTCTTCAAAGACTTCACCTGCGTGGGTAAGGTTTACACAGGAAGAACAGAGGGAGAAAGTAAAGAAGTTAAAATATTGAGAGATACAGGAGCTGGTCAGTCCTTAATAGTAAGAGATGAAAGTATTTGCACTCCTTCTGAAATGTTACCGGAGAGAGTGATGATCTGTTGAATAAGTAGAGAGAGAATTAGTGTTCCCCTGTGTAAGATAAGGCTGGAAAGTCCAATCAAGACTGGGGAAGTGACAGTGGGAGTGATTGAAAGAGTGTCTATTCCAGGAATACAGTTTGTTCTTGGAAACTATCTAGCCAGATCAAAGGTGGGAATGATGCCCCCTGTAGTGGAGAAACTGAAAAAAAAACCAGGGAACACGAAGAATTAGAAGAAAAATACCCTGGAATTTTTCCAGACTGTGTGGTGACAAGATCCCACAGCCATAAGTTAAAGCAAGCAGGGAAAAACCAAAGAGAAAGACAAAGGAGTTGAGGTCCAGTTATTTGACACCCTGTTTGATGAAATGATAAAGGAAAAACCTAAGCAAGTAGAGGATCAGGCAGAGGTGTTTAGCACTGAAAGATTAATGGAGCTACAATAAAAAGATGAGACAATAAAAGATTAATGTCATAAAGCCTACTTGCTAAAGGAATCAGAATGTATTCCAGAATATTATTATATTACAGTTAAAATCCTAAGGCGGACGTGGAGATTTTGCCGTACTTGTCATACGTGTCAGATGGTGGGAAATCCACAGGCAGTAATAAAACCAATGCCTTTGATGCTAATTCCCGCAATTGAAGAACCTATCAAGCAGGCTGTAATTATTGTATAAGTACCCTCCCTAAAACCAAAAGTGGGAACCAGTATTTGCTAACCACAATGGATGTGTCCACCAGATTTCCGGAGCAATTCCATTATGGAATGTCAAGCAAAAAAGGTTGTGGAGGAGTTGTTTGCTTTCTTTACCCATTATGTACTACCCAGGGAGATTCAATCGGACCAAAAGTCCAATTTTACTGCCAAACTGGTTAAGGAGGTCATGGATAGTTTAGGCAGCCAACACTTTAAATCAAGTGCGTACCATCCTGAATCCCAGGGAGGATTGGAAAGGTGGCATCAGACCCTAATGACCATGCTGAGGGCATGGGATAAATGTATCCCATTTATATAACTTGCTATTAGAGATGGTCCAAATGAATCAACTCAGTTTATTCTATTTGAATTGATATTCGGACACAAAGTAAGACAGCCTTTAAAATTAATTAAGGAAACATTGATAGGTCTGAAGTCAGAGATCTCACAGTTGGATTATGTATCTGAGGTGACAGAAAGATTAAACAGAGTAGGTGAATTAGCTAGACAAATGTTGAAAGTGGCACAGCATCTAATGAAGCAAGAAGCAGAAAAGAAATCTAAAATTCATACATTTGCCCATGGGGATAAAGTATTAGTGCTGTTAGAAGTGGTAGGAGATGTCTTCAAAGCAAGGCTTAGTGGTCCCTATCAGCTTGAGAAGAAGTTAAGTCAGGTGAATTATCTCGTAAAGATGCCAAATAGGAAAAAAAATATTATCAGGTATGTCATGTGAACATGCTGAAACCTTACTATGGCAGGGAAAGGGAACTGGAGAAACAGGTATTAGTTACTGCCAATCAGAGTGAGGAATCCAGATGATTTGGATTTTGACATGCCTCAGAATAAATTAAATAATAAGGAAGTCCTTAAAGAATGGGCTCAGGAACAGAGAACTGAATTGAAAGGCTTGTTGCAGCACTACAAGGACATGTGTAGAAATAGAATGGGGAGGACTAATACTAGTACATGAGGTTGATGTAGGGAATGCTGTTCTGATAAAACAACACCCTTACAGGCTTTATCCTCTCAAACCAGCACACACACAGAAGGAGGTGGAAGTGATGCTCCAAGAAGACACCATTGAACCGAGTCAAAGTGAGTGGAGTTCGCCAATCGTGTTGGTTCCCTAACCTAATGGTACTCAATAATCCTGCATAGATTATTGGAAGGTCAATACTGTGACTAAATCAGACTCATACCAAATTCCAAGTCTGGAGGACTGTGTGGGAAAAGTTGGACAAGACATTTACATCACAAATTTGGATTTACTTCGCGCTTACTGTCGGAGAGTGCAAAAGAAGTTTCTGCATTCGTAACCCCAAATAGGTTGTATCAATATAAAATAATGCCCTTTGGAATGAAGAATGTACCAGCCACATTTCAAAGACTTATGAACAGAATTGTGGCAGGATTGACTCATTGTGCCATCTACAGAGATGACTTAGTGATCTTTAACCACTTGTGGACAGATCACATGGTGCATTTGGCAGAGCTCTTTGAGAGACTACGGAAGGCAGAGTTGGTCATAAACTTGGCAAAGACAGAATTCATGAAGGCAGAAGTGACATTCTTAGGAAATAAGATCAGACACAGACGGATGACACCAAGGAATGTAAAGATTAAGGCCATCGAGGAGTTTCCAAGACCATCCTCAAAGAAGGAAGTGCTACAATATTTGGGACTGAGTGGACTCTGGAGAAAATTTGTACTAAATGTTAGCAGCGTGGTGGCACCACTGATAGATTTGTTGAAGAACAACATGAAATTCCAGTGGACAGACCAATGCCAGGAGGCATATGAGAATTTAAAAGCAGTGTTAACTATTTTAGCCACACCAAATTTCTCAAAACTCTTTAAAGTCGCTATCGACGCAAGTGATGTAAGTGTTGGAGCTGTGTTGATGCAGGAGGATGATTGTGGAATTGAAAGACCAATTGGTTAGTTTTCAAAGAAACTCAATATCCACCAGAAAAAAATATTCAACTGTTGAAAAAGAGTTATTGGGTTTGGTACTGGCCTTGCAACATTTAAATGTTTATGTTGCAAATGATATATCAGAGACAGTTGACATTTTTAGAAAGATTTAAAGGCAAAAACACTTGACTATTTTGTTGGAGTCTTATGTTACAAGCATTTAATTTACAGAATGTATGTGGTGCGGGTCATGAAAATGTTATTGCAGATGCGTTAGCGTGGGTTTAAAAGAATATGTGTATATAAAATCGAAATGGTAGTGTTCAATGTTTTATATATATGTATATAGAATTAGTATGAAAGGTCTAACTCTAGATTAATGACCTATGTATCTAGTAATAATGATGTTGAGATTTAAAAAAAAATGAAGCCATCTTTTCATGATGGTTCATTTTTATTCTTAAGGGGTGAGGTATTACAATGTTGGGTATAGTACTTGTGGACTAGAAGGCAGGACATTAGAATTTGTTTGTAAAATGATAGAGGGGAAGAGTGTGTGGTCTCTTTAAAAGATGATATGTTTTTTTTCTAGGCTTGATAATTAAAAAAATGTCTGCAGGCAGCAGTAGATATACAGAGAGTTCTTGAAATTGAAACATTGTATCAAAAGGCTATATTGTTTGCAGGCAAAGCAGCATTTTTACCAAGACAACAGGTTTTGAATTTAGCCAATTAATTTAAACCAGGCCCCAGATACCAAAACCCAATTAAATTTAAATCTGATGGTTTTGACAATCTTGGACCAATCCTATTGTAAGAAACTAATCAGTCATAAAGGGTATAAAAGAAGAGAGCATTTGAAAATCGGTGAGAGTCAACTGTCATCTGCCAAAAGAACAGCTCTCAGTTATAAAAGAAAGAATCATTGGCTCTCACAGAAATCTCTAAGCTCTCAGAGTCAGCACCATCTAAGTAAAGATACTACGACACTCTTAGCTAATATTCCTGACATAAATTCGATGGATGAAGGCGTTCCCGACTGGGGGACAACGGAGAAGGTATAGAACATTCTGGAAGGCTTATAATGACTGTAATTTCAAGAGATGAAGTTTTAATTTTTTAAATTAATTTTGCTTACATAAGAGGGATGTGTATGTACTGGAACAGCATACCATTAGAATTTTGTTTTATTCGGCAATAGTTTAGTTAAGGGGGAATTGTTTGGTTTGTTAGTAATTAATTTGTTCGCTTTTAGAGTTAGGTAAATAAATTGTTACTTGTTGATTATAGAATGACTGTCAGGAGTTCATTTCATTTAACGTCTCCTTTATAACAGATTCGGAGGGGGTGAGAGGCAGGTTATACCACTTTTCCCACTTTCTTTAACAGATGACAAGGCAAAGTGAACCTCTCCAGGTGTTTTAGTTTTATTTATCTGGGGGTTCAACTACTCCTCCATAGCAATGCCTAAGGCTTTTGCTTTTGATTCTGAAAAGTACCCAGTCTACTTGAGATGACA